GTACCCATCTGCTGCTAATGTAGCTACCTGGGTGTACCCTAGGGGGCCCCCCCCTCCTCTTCTTAAGGGCAGTACCCTATTTATTGCTGCTGCATGCGCATGCGCCGTATATGCAGCAGCAGGGAGACACCGCAAATCAAAGACACGTAGACGGCCGTCTCCTCTACCACCAGACAGCAGCAGCGGCACAGCACCGCTGCTGCTGCTGCTGCTGCTGCTGCAGTCGCCTGGTGCTGCTGTGTCTGCTGCTGGCAGCAGCAGCTGCAGATCACCTACAGCTCCTCTATGTGCTGCTGCAGCACGAGCAGCAATCTTTTGCTGATTTATATCCCATACAGTTAAGAATCCCTTTTTGCTGCCAGCAGCAGCAAAAGAATTATACCATACAAACTGCAGCAAAGGAGACAGTAGAGACAGTGCTCCTGCTGCAGCAACATCAACAGCAGGTAGCTCAGCTAGTTGCTGCTTCTTCCTTAAACCCCATAAACGTAAAGATCCATCGTACCCTACAGAGGCCCCTATGGGGGCCCCCAGGGGGCCCCCCACCTGTACCTCGCTAACTCCTGCACGATGACCAGGAGGGAGCTCAACAGCTCGGGGTGTCTTTTTGTCCCTTCTGCATACAGCCTTGGGTGTCCCCTTTATCCTCCGTTGCTGCTGCTGCTGCTGCAGTTCCTCCTGCTGCTGCTGCTGCTGGTCTGCGTGTGTGTCCCATATAGTATCATATTCTGGGTAAGAAGATGGGGAGGGAGAAGAGGAGAAAGTAGAAGAGGAGACAGAAGGAAAGGAGACAGCAGAGGAGGAGCCAGAAGAAAAGGAGACAGAAGAAAAGGAGACAGTATCCCATAGACATATAAGACCATCCATACCACCAGAAAGGAGACACCCATCAGCAGCAAATGCACAAGAAGTTACCCAGTCATTGTGTCCCCATTTAGGTCCATATAATGTTGCTAGGGGAGCGCATGCAGAAGCAGCAGGTGCAGCAGCAGCAACACCAGCAGCAACACCAACTCCAACTGCAGCAGCAGCAGCAGCAGATAAATCAAATAAACGTAAAGAACCATCCGCGCTGCCCGTCGCGCATAGTCGCTCTGAATAACGCAACAGCAGCACACACACAATGCTGCTGCTGTAGTTGCTGCTGCTGCAGTTGCTGCTGCTGCTGCTGCACCTGCTGCTGGCATAAGTGTTGTTGCTGCTGCTGCAGCTTCTGCAGCAATGATTAGCGCAACTGCTATCAATTTACAGCGTGCATAGTGGCATTAATGCTTGACCCTTAACAGCAGCAGCAGCAGCAGCAGCAGTAACAGCTGAAGGCGCCTTGCTGCAGGGGGCAGCTTGTCTTATTTAATTAACACCCTCAGTGTTGACTAGGGTTTAGGGTTTAGTGTTTAGGGTTTATATAAGCGCACTAGATAGGTGTATATCTATGCATAAGATAGATCTATCATGACCATCAGGGTAAATAACAGCAGCAGCAGGGCCCCTTCTTGCTGCTGCTGGGTTACGTAGCATACGCAGAGGGCAGCAAACGCATGCAAACCCTGCTCCTCCTGCACTTCCTGCTGCTGCTCGTGCTGCATATGCTGTTGCTCCTGCTGCTGTGGCGGGTTCTCCATCCAGAGCAGCAGCAGGAGACCCCGTAGAGATGGGGGGCCCCCCATCGTATGACCTTCTCACCAACGTGCTCCTGAGGGTACCAGAAGGGGGCCCCCTATGGGCACCCGAAGGAGGCCCCTTAGGGGTACCAGAAGGGGGACCCCTAGGTATGCTAGAAGCAGACCCTCTATGGAGGGAAGTAGATGGGGGCCCCTTGGGGGTACTAGAAGGGGAAATCCTAGGGATATTAGAAAAAGACCCCCTAGGGATAGTAGAGGGGGCCCCCCTAGGTATACTAGAAGAGGGGGCCCTCGGGATGCTAGAAGGGACCCCACCAGGGGCCCCCCCACGCGAGGTACCGCGAGAGGCAGGCCTCATTGTGGATGGCTCTGACAGCAGCAGCAGCTGCTGCTGCTGAGCCTGCTGCTGCTAAAGCAGCTGCTACTGTGATTGACGGTGGTGGAGTTGTTGTTGTTGTTGTTGCTGCTGCTGCTGCTTCGATGTCTAGCAGCAACCTGCCGTGCTGCAGCAAGACACTACTTATCTGCCACTAGGCAAACAGTGTAAGGACCTTTTGCTGCTGCTGCTGCTGCTGGTGTTCTATCTGCTCTCTATCAATTGCTGCAGCAAGTGTTGCTCTAGCTGTAGCAAAAAGTCTTGCTGCAGTTTGTGGGGTGGAGGTACAGCAGCAGCAGCAGCAGCAGCAGCAGGCAGTTCCTTTAGTTAGAGAGATACAAATAGAGAGACAGAAAGAGACAGATCTAGAGACAGAGGAGCAGACAGAAGAGGGCACAAAAGAGATTACCGTGCCTGCTGCTGCTGCTGCTGCTGCAGCTGCTCTTGCAGCATCTCTTATAATCTTCCTTTCCTCTGGATGGCCAGCTGGATATACACCACAACGTAGACAGCAGGGCTGCAGCAGCAGCAGCAACAAGGGAGGAGGCAGCAGAGACAGTAATAATAAGATAATGCACAAAGCCGCAAATAGACAGCAACAGCAGCAGCAGCAGATCTACAGGCAGCAAAAGGCATAAGGAGGGAAAGGAGACAGGCAAAGGAAGTCAAATGCCTCCACTCATGTTGCTGTTGCTGTTGTTGCTGTTGTTGTTGCTGCTGCTATGCAGCTGCAGCAGCTGCAGCACAGAATGATGACCTATTAGTGGTAATAAGGGTACAAATAAGGAGACAGCAGCAAGGGCAGCAGCAACACCACTGCTAAAGAAAGGAGACACCTCAAGAGAGCAGCAGATAAACAAGACAGAGCTAATACTACAGAGCAACTGCTGGTGCGGTAAAGCAGCAGCAGCAGCAGCAGCAGCAGCAGCAACAGCAGCAACAGCAGCAACAGCAGCAACAACAACAGCAGCAGCAGCAAAAAATGTAACAAGCGCACACACCGTCTCCTTTGTCGCTCGCTGCTTCCGTATGTCTCGGGGCCCCAGGGGCCTCTCTCACTGAAACAGCAGCAGCTGCTGCTGCTGTTGCTGCTGCTGCTGTTACTGCTGCACCGCTGCCGCCACCTCCGCCCAGCACCGTGTTGCTTTTATTGCTGCTGCTGCTGCTGCAGTTACAGCAGCATACACAAGAAGGAGGCAATAAAGTAATTTACTTAATATGAAGTAGGGAGAGTAAAATGAATAGATAATACAATATCTCTGCTGCACACACTGAGCAGCAGCAGCAGCAGCAGCAGCGGCAGCGGTAGCGGTAGCTGCAGCCGCTGCTGCAGCAGCAGAACCGCAGCCACAGTAGCAGCGCTGCTGCTGGGTGTGTATCTTTTTGTTTTGTTTATTCTTTAAGGCCTTTTTACGATTAATTTACGACGGTGTTTACAGCAATATACCCCGCTGCTGCAGACAGCAGCAGCAGCAGCAGCAGCAGCAGCAGGCCGCTCTACCCCGGTGTATCTGTAGGCCGATATTTTCTTTTTTCCTTTTGTTTGTTTGATTTATAGCTGCATCTATACAGCAGCAGAGCAGCACAGGTCCATCAGCAGCAGCAGCAAGACAGCGGCAGATCGCCCCGTACGCAGACGCAGTAGCTGCAGCAGCTGCTGCAAGACAACAGCAACAAAAAAAGAAGCAGCAGCACCAGCGGGATCGTAGCCACAGCAGCAGCCGCAGCAAGAGCTGCAGCCACTGCAACAGCTGCAGCGTGATCGAACCAGCAGCAGCAACAGCAGTAGTAGCAGCAGGAGCAGCAGCAGCTGGAGTTGCATCATTGATCGTAGTTGCCTCCAAGGTAGAAGCGGCTGCAGTTCGACTAGTAGCAGCAGGAGCAGCAGTAGCCGGAGCATCATCAGTAGCAGCATCCTCAGTAGCCCCCACCGCCGCAGCAGCAGCAGCAGGAAAGCGTCGTGCAGCAGCAGGTCTGCTGCTGTCGTCCCTATTCCCCCCATGGGTCAGTGTTTGCTGCAGCAGCAAAACAGTTTGCTGCAGCAGCAAGATGCCGCAGCCGCAGCTGCTGGGCGAGAGCTTCTGGCGGCCTCTTGCAGAGCAGCTGCTGCTGCGGCAGCAGCAGTTGCTGCTTGAGGAGGACAGCAGCAGCAGCAGCAGAGCGGACGCCCTCAACAGTCGCCCATGTCCTCACCACGATAACCAGGCGTACACCGTGCAGCAGCAGCAGCAGCAACAGCTGCAGCAGCAGCGGCTGCTGCTGCAGGAGCAGCTGCACAACCTCGACCGCGGCCAGGGGGTGCCGCTATACGGACAGCAGCAAGATGCACATCAGCTGCAGCGCCATCGGGAGCTGCAGCAGCAGCAACTGCAGCAGCAACGGCAGCAAGATGCTGCTTCGCGAGCGGCAGCTATGCGATGGGACTCGGGGCCATCTATAGCTGTTAATGGCCGACCAATACAGACAAGCAACAGCAGCAGCAGCAGCAGCAGCAGCAGCAGCAGCAGGGAGGTGTATGGGGGGAGCGGGCAGGGAGAGTTCGTTGTATCGACACCTAATACCCGCTGTGCATGCGGAGCAGCAGCACCCCCAGCAGCAGCACCATCATCCTCTGCAGCAGCAGCAGCAGCAGCGGATGTCTTTGCTGCTGCAGGCACCCCCGCAGGAGTAGCAGCAGGCGGGGGGCGACCTCCTGCAGCAGCAGCAACAACAACAACAACAACAACAGTACCAGCAGCAGCGCCAGGTGCAGGAACAGCAGCAGCAACAGCAGCAGCAGCAGCAGCAGAGAAACTATTAGAAGACCTGTCTCTAAATAGCAGCGCGTGGTCCCTTTGGAGACAGTCCCTTGGCTGGCAGCTGGGCCTCTGCAGCAACAGTGCGCAGCTAGCGGAGGCAATATTAAGAAATACTAATAGTACAGAGCAGCAGCAGCAGCAGCAGCAGCAGGAGCAGATGTTGCTGCTGCAACAGCAAGAACAGCTGCAACAGGAACAGGAACAGCAACGTCTTGCCGAATACAGCCGGCAACAACAGCTGCAGCAGCAGCAAGAAGAATTGCTGCAGTATCAGCAGCAGCAACAGCAGCAGCAACAGCAGCAGCAGCAGCAGATAGGGCATGCATTGCTGCAGCTAACTCCTGAGGAGCTGCAGCAAAAGGTTGAGGAGGCAAGGCGTCTCCTTGTAGATTTGTCTCCTCCGCGGCATCAGCCTGCTGCTGCTGCTGCAACTGCTGCTGCTGCGACTGCTGCTGCTGCTGCTGCCGCTGCGGGGACAGCAGCAGGCACAGCAGCAGCAGCTCCCGATGGTGACAGCGTAGGGATATCTGAAGGCGAGGCAAATGCTGCTTCTGTTGCTGCTGCTGCTGCTGCAGCAGCAGCAGCAGCAGCCGCTGCTGCTGCTCTTGGTAGAGAAAGAAGAACGGATGCGGATGGATCGTTGCGAGAAGTCGACTTGGTAAGTTGTCTCCTTTTTTGCTGCTGCTGCTGCTGCTGCTGCTGCTGCTGCTGCTGTTGCTGTTGTTGCTGCAGTTGTTTCATTTGCTGCTGCTGCTACAGTTGTTGTTGTTTCATCATCATCTGCTGCTGTTGTTGTTCATCTGCTGCTGCTGCTGCTGCTGCGTATGTATACAGGCGCTGCCTCCCGTATTAGGGTTGCCGGTGCAGCCGCAGCTATTAGAAGTTGGCGGCAGCAGTCCGCCTCCCTTGGGGGCCCCCCATCTACGGAGACTGTTAATGGGTACCCCTAAAAGGCGTCAAGGGGCCCCCGCCCGCAGCAGCAGACAGGAAGCAGAAGGTAAGAAAAAGAATGGTTATTATTACACTTATTTGTTTTATATGTATTTAATATACTATTATTATTATATGTATGTACATGTATATATATGTATATACATGTATATATATGTTTATATATGTATATAGATGTATATATATGTATATATATGCATATATATGTGTATATAGTATATATATAAGTATTGAGGTGTATGCCTCCGTTCCTTATTTGTGTCCCTTTTCTTGCAGAGGCGCTCCTTGGTCCCCCTCCTCCTGCCCACACTATAAGATCACCACAGACAGCTCGGCGTTTTGCTACTGCTGCTGCAGCAGCAGCAGCAGACTCGCCGCTGCATGCGTCTGACACAGAAGTCTTCGATAGGCCTCGCCGCAGTCGTTCTTCTGTTCGGGGTTCTGCTGCTCATTGGCGCAGCAGCAGCAGCAGCAGTAGCAGCGCGGCAGCAGCAGCAGCAGCTCAAGCCGCAGCAGATGCTTTTACGCCTATCCGTGGTAGCCGTAGGGACGCAGCAGCAGCGGCTGCAGCAGCAGCAGCTGCTGCTGCAGTCGTTGTTGCAAGCGGTATGAATGAGGAAGAAGGGCATGCGTCATCTGCTGTCCCGTTCTCTGCTGCTCTCCCTCAACAGCCCCGCAGCAGATTGTCCCGTTTGCAGCCGCATGCAGCAAGAAGAGTAGAGACAGCAGCAGGGACACCTAAAGCAGGAGAGGGCCTCTTAATGGGGGCCCCCAAGCCCTCCTTACCCTCATTAGCGATGCCCTTCCGATCTACAGCCCCTTCAGATGCCGCAGATAGCCACCAGCGCATGCAGCAGCAACGCATGCTGCAGCAGCAGCAACAGGAACGCATGCGGCAGCAACGCGCTCAACAGCAGCAGCAGCTGCAGCAATCGGAGACCGATGATAGTCCAGATAGTGAAGAATACGATGCATCAGGGGCCGATGTAAGAGAGGAGGAGAGGTACCTGCAGCAGCAGCAACGGCAGCAGCAGCAGCAACGACGGCACCGGCAGCAACTGCAGCAGCAGCAGCAGCAAGATGGGGCAATGTATGAGGAGACAGCTGCAGGATTGAGTCCCCAACGTGGCGCAGCAAGAGCGCAAGAAGTTCCTGTTGCTGCCTACGGTGAAGATGTGACTCCAATGTCTCCAGCCGCAAGAGCAGCGCCAGCTGCCGCTGCTGCAGCTGCAGCAGCAGCTGCTGCTGCAGCTAGTGCGGGTGCTTCACCAGCAGCAGCTGCAGCTGCAGCAGCAACTGCTGCTGCTGAGGAGCTGAGTCTTCACGAGACAAGCCCAAAGAGGGGAGGGAAAACAAATAGACTATCTGCTGCAGAGGCTGCTAAATCTGCCTCTCTTCCAGCTGCCCCAGGCGCCAGCAGCAGCAGCAGCAGCATCAATAACAGCAGCAGCAGCAGAAGTCCTGCAGCAGCGTCTGTGAATCTGTTGGATAACCCAAGAGGTTCTGCTGCAGCAACAGTTGAGCAGCAGGATCCTGGTTACATGCCTGCTGCAGCTGCAGCAAGTGACTGGACGGACGCAGCAGCCGGAGGGGAAACAGCAGCAGGAGCAGCAGCAGGAGCAGCAGCAGGAGCAGCAGGTGCTGAAGGAGATATGGAGCATGCCTTCGAGTTCTCTGATGCATGGAGGGACGGAGGGGACACTCATCAGTTTGATGCCCCTGAGGAGCCGTGGCTGTCCGACGGAGATGCAGCACCAGAGCAGCAGCAACAGCAGCAAGAGCAGCAGCAGCAGGAGCAGCAGCAGCAGGACAAGTTGGGAGAGCGAAAGAAGGCAGGAACAGCAGATGCAGCAACAGATACAGATAACTGTCTCCTTCCAGAGACAGATGCATTAGTTGCTGTCCCCTCAGCTGTATCTCCTTCCTCCCCCACAGCAGCAGGAGCAGCATCAACAACAGGAGAAGCGGCAACAGCAGCACGAGCTGGTGCAGCTGCATTAGCAGCAGCAGCAGCAACAACACCCGTATCTTCTCCTCCTACATTATCCATAGTCCCCCACCAAGGAGACGATTCATCCTCTTCCTCTGCAACCCCAACAGCAGCAGCAGCAGCAACAGGAGCAGCAGTAGTAGCATCTCCTGTGCGCAGTGTACAACGAGGTATTCAGACATCTCCTGAGGTGGAGAGACACCCAAGGGCAATAAGAGGTCGTCGTATAGAGAGAAGAAGAGGAGCAGCACTAAAGACACAATTAGATCCATGTGTCCCTCCTCCTAGTGTATGTACACCGGAGAGGAGATACCCACAAAGAAGAAGACTTAAACCTTTATTAGCATGGATGGGGGAAAGAATAAATTATGATTATGAAGGAATGGTGAATGTAGTCCGCTGCAGCAACATGGTTGAGCTGTACGTACAGGGGGGAGATATAGGGGCATTACCTGATGCCTGTCTTGCTGCTGCTGATCCAGGCAAGGTACTAAAGAAAATAGTTAAGCAGCAAGACATGGTACTGCCACAGGAGGGGGGTAAGGTACCTGCTATTGAGGACAAGCAGCAGCAGCTGCAGCTGCAGCGGGAGGAGGCAGAGGCGGAGAGGGAGTGGGAACGGGAACAGGAGCAGAAGAAGCTAAGGAGGAAGCAGCAGGCAAGAAAACAGGCAGCTAAGGCTGCAGCAGCAGGAAGCAGCAGCAGGAAAAGAAGAGACAGCAGCGCGAGTTCATTAGATTCACGACTAGGAGACACTGCTGCTGCTGCTAAAGTGTCTACAACAGCAAAAGGACACAGCAGCAGGAAGGAAGGAAAAGGAGACAGAAAAAGATTACGGACAGCTAGCAGCAGCAGCAGCAGCAGCATGAAGCAGACACATACAAAACATAAAGATAAACGAACCGACAAAGTAACAACGCAGCAACCAAGCAGCAGCAGCAGCAGCAGCAGCAGCAGCAGCAGCAGCAGTAGCAGCCGTTTGAAGAGGCTATCGTTTGCTGCAAGGGATAGCAGCACGTCGCCTCCCCGCAGATCTGCTGTTGCTGCTCCTGCTGCAGCAGCAGCAGCAACTTCTTCTTCTTCTTCTTCTTCTTCTTCTTCTGAAGGATCCAGTAGTGACGAGAGCGATAGCGAGGGCGCCACAGCAGCAGCAAAGGAGGCCCCTGTCTCTGTAAATACAGGCAGAAGTAAGCCATTATTTTGTATCCTTTTCTGTCTCCTTTTGTCCCTTTCCTTATTTGCTGCTGTGGTGGTTGCTGTCTTGAGGCGTCTCTTTATTTTCTGTCTCCTTTCCCTTGTTTTTTGCCTATTTGTCTCCTTTTTGTCCCCCTTTTGTCTCCTTTTTGTTTATCAGCTGCTCCTCCTGATGTATATATTCCTAAGGAATCTGCTGCTTGGCGAGCCATAGGCCCTGGGGAGGCGATGCAGGTACGGGGAAGTGTCTATGTATTGAGTGTCTCCTTTTTGTATATATTTATAGATATTTATTATTAATTACTTATTTATGTCTCCTTTTTACGGTGTATATGCAGCTCGCTGTTATACGTCAAGGCCGTCGTGTCGTGTCTTGTAAGTTGCGACTAAAAGCAGGTTTTGTTAAAGGCCCAGACAATGCACAGAAGAAAGAAATCGTAAGAAAATATACCTAGCTGCTGCTGCTGCTGCTGCTGCTGTTGTTGTTGTTGTTGTTGCTGCAGCTGCTGCTGTTGCGTGGTTGCCATACAAAAGCTGCTATTTTCTGTGCGTATATGTATGGCATATTTAGTAATTACTATTTGTGTGTATGTTCTTGATTGAGTAAATGATGAATACACTATTAATTATAGCATATTGTCTCCTTTTTATGAATAATATAAATAAATTAATTCCTGTCTCCTTTTTATCTTATCTGTCTCTTTTTTTTTTTTTTTGTATGTGTATATGCATGCATGCATGCATGCATGCAGTTTGGTGTGGTACTATCTGGTGGTCCACTAGTTTTAAATACTCATGGAGAAGAATTTGAATTAATCGAAGGAGCATTTTTTCAAATCGCACCGCATCAAACTTGGAGTCTAAGAAATGATCAACCGTTAGTCTTACTCCTGCTCCTGCTGTTGCTGCTAATGCTAATGCTGCTGCTGCTGCTGGTGGTGGTTGTAGTGCTGTTGGTGCTGCTGCTGCTAGTGATGCTGTTGCTAGTGATGTTTTGCTGCTGCTAGTGCTGCTGATGCTTATGGTAGGTAGTGCTGATGCTAGATATCTTTTTACTGCTAATACTCTTCCTAATGCTAGTGCTGCTTCTTATGCTAGTGATTGTGCTAATGCTGCTTGTTGTTGCAGCTGCTATTGTTGCTGGCGTAGTTACACTGATTAGTTGTTTTGTTTGTTTTGTTTGTTTGGGTGTTTAGAGACGGCGGCTACGCGGAGATATACCTTGCATGCATTCTATTGGATGCTGCAGCTGATTAGCCAATTTCTTTCCTCTGTTTGTCTGTTTTTGCATGCATTTGCTGCCCATTTTGTGGTTGTTTGCTGTAATAAAACAAATAAAAATAATTAATATTCTATAAACAACTACCCCTGCGCGGCTTCTGCAGTTTCTATGGGGGATTTCCGCTGCTGCGGAAGTTGCTGCTCTTCATGCAGCTGCGCATGCATGCATGCATGCATGCATGCGCTTGGGGCTGAAAGCCCAAAGCAGCAACTGCTGCTAGACATTGCGCGGGAATAATCTTTTGTTTAATTTATTGGGACATTTGTGTTCGGGGCCGTTGTATAGTATATAATATGGCGTCTTTGCTTCCATACGTTTGGTGTAGGTAGTTTTTAGGGTTTACGGTTTAGGATCGTCAGCATTATCATTGTAGGTTGAAGTCTCTACAATGGTAAGACAGCGTTGCTGCTGTTTTACGGTGTACGGACACCACAGCAACCCTGCTACTTCCCATCATCTGCTGTAGCAGCAAACAGGTAACTGCTCAGTTGCCGTGTGTGTACATTGTCGTGTCTTTCGCACAATGCACATCAGACCTTTTGCTGCTGCTTCTGCTGCTATGGCTGCTGATGCTGCCCCTGTGGCTGCTGCTGCTGCTGTAGCTATGGCTGCTGCTGACTTTGTCAGCTCCCATGCTGCAGCAGCTGCAGCAGCTCTCGACTTCGTTGTATTCTTTTGCTTCAAGGATCATCTAAGGCCTCTCTTGCCTGACGTCATAAGTAGAAGGCATGACGCTGCTGCTACTGTTGCTGCTGCAGTTGCTGCTACTGCTCCTGCTACTGCGGCCGTTGTAAAGGTGAGTATATGCGGTCCCCACATTCAAATATCTCGCTGCTGCGACTTAGCAGCAGTATTTTCTATATTTTTATAGAAGCATATTCATGGCTTTTTTGTGCTGTTTAAATTTGCCTCTTGCTCCCTTGTTTGCTCAAGTACACTTTCTAAGAAACGAACGAAGCAAATAGCACTGTCCGTTGCATCAAAGGCAACAGCAATAGCACGGCCTGATGTAGAAAGTCTAAAGCCCACAACTTTAGGGTCTTTAAGAAGTTTTGCATCTGCGGATGCATGATCCAGCGCTGATGGCCCATAGATCCATGAGTCAATGTCTTGAAAAGGGATAAGACGAACCTTCTCCTTAAAGACCAATGTTAAGATCCTCTTGACAGAATCAAGCGTTAACTTACATTCTATACGCTGCCCATCTGGAAATAATACCTCTACGGTGCTGCCTGTGCTGTACTTCTTTAACCAAGCATCGTATACCTTCGCTGGTAACTCTTTAAGACCGGCTAGAGCCAACTGCTGCGCAGTTATATCCGTGTTCTCCTCCCCTTCATATCCGCAACAAACAGAATTTCCCATTTGCACAAATTTAAGCTGAAATTGAAGAGCCTTTGCTGCACGTGCTGTTCCCTCAGCAGCCTTCCGTTGTTACAACAGATGAGTTTAACCAGCGGTGCAGGATTCACCAAAGCTGGAACCCCGCCCTTTTTTCTCCCAAATCCCAGACGAATATAATATTCACAAGTTGAAATTCATAAATGAGCAATCCCTCCTAGCAAATGCCCAAAAAAAAACGCAAAAGTCTTACACCGGCACGGAAGTGGCGGACCGGAAGGCGCGCGGGGCGATTCGCGAAGAAATCGAGGCGAGCTGCTGAATAGAAGAAACTCTTGAAGCTCAAGTAAAGACAGAAGGTTTAAAATATGTTTTAAGGAGATATTTGGCAAAAAACGGAGTGTCAAACTAATATCCTCACAGCCAACACCCGAAGGGTCAAATATCGTGTTCGCAGGCACTACTGTGGTTCACCCTGCGAAACCTCTAGCGGTCTATTCCGCAAGAGGAAATGATATATCATAATATTTGTGTTAAGTTAGATCATATGTGAATGAAATACGGCAAACAAGCTATGACCTTTAACTGCCTATCACAGGGCCTTGGGGCTGGCTGGGACGTTGTTGAGGCACTGACCCAACTTGAGGCTTCAGGGATAAACAGGCTTATTTCCGTTCTCGTTTTGCTCATATACATTGACTGCAGTTTGTGAATTGGTTTATAAGCCCTATTAAATTTATTTCAGTATTATAAATCAGGTTTTAGTGCTTAACTACTTAGGTGGACCGTACAGGTTGTTCTGAGAGCCTACGTAGTCGCGAGCTACCCGTGAAGGAAGGACCACAATCGGTTGCGAGCAGCTTGGATGAGGGCCGCCAATCAAAAAGAGGTCTAAAGCTTAGTTTAAAATTATTTTTATGAAACATTTGCAACTCGCATCTTTTTTATGTCACAATTCAGCATTTAATGGCTAAAGGCTTGGAATGACCCAAAAACGAGTTCTTCCATGCTCATGGTTGAATGGTCCGAGGACGGTTATCTGCATTTAGACGCATCTTCCGTCTTCCCCTCAGCCTTAAGTATCTTTTTAAAACTTTTTACATCAAGAGTAGCTCCAAAGAGTAGATCAAACATTGAACTTCCAGCAGTGCGTACGCTATCGGTCTCCTTCATCGAAGGGGAATCAGCCGCAACCAGTTCCCTTAAGGAGCCTCCACCTGCATTCTATGTTTTCTTCGCTGTCTGGTCAGGCGTCAGAAGTGCTCAATAGAGCTTTTGTAAGCTGAACAATGTATAGCTGATGTAAACAAGCTGTGTATATTGGGAAGAACATCTCTTACCAATCCGGCATATCGGAGTATACTCAAAAGAAAAGCAAAACGGTTACTTACCGAAGAGCCCACCGCAACATTCCCTATTAAACATGCTCCCCTAGTGTAGCACACGAGACATCAAATAGCTTCGTCTCAACTAATGTGTAGATGTGGCCAGACCCATGCGAAGTCACGCTGCCAAATAGGTATAGCTAAAAGCACAGTTATCTGCGAAGACAAACCTTAGCTATTTCATCATTACAGGAGTAACAGCGATGGCTTAAGTAGCAGTGGCTCACGACTCTCCAGGGCGGGGCGAAATGGGTTGCTGTTGTGCAACGCCGCCCACTTCTAAATGCTTCCAACCTGCATTGCCACCGCTGTGTGTAGATACACTCTTTCTTGCTCCGGTGCCCTCGGCTTCCCGTGCAGATATATGGCAACAACGCAGCATTAAGCGCCCATCAGAAGTAAAGTAAGATAGAAGGGCAGGTGACCTTACGAGTGTACAGCAACAAATGGGGCAACATCATATTGAATTGGAAAAAATGATGCGCACGGGGGGGAGAACTCTGGGTTGCCTTGCTGGCCTCGAATGCCCTCTAGCGGGTATGAGATCATGGGTCGTTGTAGCGGGCACTGCAGCGAGAGCAGCATCCACAGTTCCTTCAGCCAAGAATATTTTAGCTCCAATGCCTCTTCGTCAATAATGAGGATACTTTGCACGATTAAACAGATGCGGGTGGCGTCGGGACTCGTAGACAGCAGAGGAGTTTCCTGTTCCTCTGGAAGTATGCTTCTCCACCAAAGCCACACGCAGGGGTGCTTGGCTCCTCAAAAGGGGGCCTCCCGAGGAGATTACTGCTTGCCCGAGGGAATAGCTACAATACATAGAAGAGATATAATATAGCGTTCCAAAAGATCGAAGGCAACAGACAGAACCAGGGGATAAGCCCAAGCCGTGTTGGCTCAAAGCTCTTCCACCGATTGTTCAGGGGGCTTTTTTCCCTTGGAAAAAGGAAATCCCTAAAAGCCCATTGTTAAATAGTACATCTGTGAGCTTTTGGTCCAAAGGCCTTCACGTCTGCTGTTGCTCTGGTGTCGATGCGCATTTAACCCCGCAAGCATGCAGTCCTTTCGGGGGCTGTCATAACGGATTAGAAGCATTTCTGTGTCTTTGGCTTCAGCGCCTCGAGGTCTCGTCCTTCTATTCTTAGGAAGTTAAGTTCTTTCCACCCACCGTAGTGTATGCAACTGCTGTTGAGAAGTCTATGTAGATCACTCTTCCACTCACTTCAGGAAGACATACCCCATATAGTGTCTGTGGAAGGCCTTATCCCCTCCTTCGGCTGATGCGTACATGGCATGCCCATTTTAATTTTTTGGTGGTTCACTGGTTGCTTGTATTGTGAACTTGCCCAAGATGGAAGCAACATGTGATGGTAGGAAGACCCTCTGGAACAATTTCGCGTGCTACTCCTACAGCTTTACTGATCCTTGCATGTCTTTTGCCTTGGGAGCAGTATGGGCGTAGACGTTTCAGATGAACCTCGTCTCCAGAGCTAGCAAACTTCCATAAGTAACCAGTTCACTCGAGGTAGATCTGTTGATGCGTCGCTCATCCTGGTTGAGGCATCGCCTTGCCGCATGTCCTTTGGGAAGAAGGAGGTTCCTCTGGAGGTTTTGCTGCTTCCCCCTAACTTTTGTTGCCCTTAATCTTGCTTTCCAATTCCCTTTATATTTCTACGCGTTTGTGACACTAAGAACGTGGCAGTGTTCGTTGTAAAAGAGGAGTATGCACACCACACGCCCTTACCGAGTACACTAGCCAGTCAGGAAGAGTGGATATGGCTTTGCTGGCACAGGCGAGCCAAGCTACGGGCAAGAAGGGCTCCAGGTAACAAGTCGACGAAGCTGAAAGTTGGCTTTAGTGGTGGAAGTCAGTGGAGCCGTAGACACTAGTTATTAGCGGAAAACCTTGTGTTTCAGGCCTCCGCTCTTAAGGACACAGCGTTAAGTGTATAGAGAGGATATTGAAGGTTGTTGCACTTGGGCAACACACGCATGGATAAACTCTATGAAGCTAGACTCCGGCGTTAATTGTTTATGGCTTAGGGAAGGGAGTTCACAAGCCAGGATTTGTGGTTTGGGCTGCTGTAGACCATCGACATGGGTTGCGCTGGCTGCGGCCCCACATCCCCGCAGGAGTAACTGCATGATCCTCCTTTTGAAGCAGGTTCTTCCGAGGTCATCTTGACTAATGCTTTATTCATCTGAACTACATTAGATTCAATTTCAACATCGCTAATTCTTTAGTGCCTATAAGCCTCGTAAAGTATCGGGGCTCCTTGTAGTGCGCAGCCGTTCTAAGTGCTGAATGCAACTTAACAGGGTGCAGGCCCCCTCAAGAATTCTCCCACTCCACGCCGTCGATCTCACGACGACCCGATCACTGCACATCTGCTCGCCAGTGATCTCCATAAACATCACTACTCTGAGGATCGGCGCGCCTCCAGGTGTAAACGACAAACTTTCACCTGACTAGGGAGACTCCTAGATTTCTGCGAATCCACGAAAGCCTCCATCCGCATATACCCTCAGATATCAAACTCTGCGGCCTCACCAGCCTTTCACCATCATGGCGTCATTACTCCTTCGTCAGTCGGGTTAGCGGGTTCCTCCGCCCCTTCTGTGTCCCTTTCGCAGAACTCCTGTTTTGCATGCTCCATCTACTCGACTTCGCCTAATGGAATCTACATCAGGCTTCGCCCCTGTCCCCTGTGGGGCCTCTTCATATTCAGCAGCCTCTTCATGTGCCGATCTGATCTCACGCTTCAGAGTCCTACCCCACCTCGGGGAAACTGCTAGCGCCACTTCGCGCAGAACCCCTGTATACTCATATGCATAACTTACGTCGCGTACTCTCTACTAACGGATTCCGTGCCGTTGCCTTCTCCACTCTCCATTTCGCTAGCTCGCTGGCTGGCTCACGCCGACTCTGCTGCCTTCTGTTCAGTCGGAGGTGGGCAGATACTATACTTGTGATAAACTTGTACCGTGGCGCTTCGGTTGTGCTACGGCTGATTCTTATTATACATTCCACTATAGAGAAGAGGTCACTGGGTTGGACCAGCCCCCAAATGTTTTGCGCAGCCGTCCTAAGCTAAGCTAATTACTCCTAGGTCAATACTTAAATTCCAAATCATGTTCGAGTCTGTATTATAAACAAGGGAAGTTCCCAGGAATAACAGAACTGTGTTCTGAATCGACAGCGGTCATCGCTGGGTGCCAGTGCCCAACCTACAGGATTATGGGGGGGGTTCAAATGGGGCGAGACAGTCAGGAGCCAGACCTATAACTGCCGTCTACCAGAGTCGTATTCATATACATAATACTCCTATATAATAATAATTCTATGTCCTACACAATTACATCTCTAAAGGAGCATACCTGGTACCCAAGTGGTGACTAGGTGGTACGCCACACTGCCGATAGTGGCCGCCGGCGGGGGCAATACTATTAACCTGTGGCTCCACTTACGGTACTCGATTCTTAGAACATTTAGCAGTATTAATTCCTTTTCTTGGTTGCTAATGTCATAATCATTCTCTTTGTGGTCACTGAGCTACTAGAGATCACGCCAGAGCCACATTGTAGTGCCTGTGCACTACACTCTCTGTAGGGCCCATAGCGGGTCGGCCTTCCTGTGCTTGTTTATTTTGCCCTCCCAATATTTTCCATGGCAGGAACAAGAAAGCTTTGACGATTTGAATGTGGCTATTTTCATCCTCATAGAAGGCCCACGGCCCGCAGGCTCCTCGTGGGAGTTGCGTGCACAGGGGGCCCCAACTCGAGGGCCCCCATTTCCCCGCACGCCTAGTCTTGCGCCTTCCGGCTGTATTCACAGCTATGACGGAATCTACGGATCTGGCTCAGAAGCTGCATGCAGCAGCTGATGGATTTAGACTGGGAAAGGGCCACAGCGAGGGCCTCCTCAGCTGGTTGGGGCCCCTGCTGCCTGCCCTGGGGCACCCCGAAGCCCCTGTGGTACAGCAGAAGAAGCTCGGCAGCAAGGCAGCAGCTGTACGGGAGCACCAGCAGCACCTGCTGCTGCAGGAGCAAGAACGAGACCTCCCCAAGCAGCGCCAACAACTGCAGCAGCTTCTAAAAGTATATGCGGCAACCTCTCCGGCATGCATCGAGCTGCTGGAGCTCGTGGATGTATGCAATGAGAGGCTACTTCAAAAGGTAACGGAGGTGGGCCGCACCGGCCAGAGGGGCCTGCCGGAGGGTATTAGTCCTGCTGCGGCCCGGATGCAGCAGCAACAGCAACAGCAGCAATTAGTGCTCCTGAAAGGGGCAGATGAGGCGGAGGAAGCAGCACGTGCAGCACAAGTTGCTGCCCTTATTGCAAGTGCGATTATCAGAGAGGAGAGTCTGGATTCTCTCCCATCTGCAGCGGCTACACGTAGTCGACTTGCTGCTGCTATTGCTGCTCCCTCGCGGCTGCTGTCGTTCAGTTCCGTGCTGCTGCCATTCCCTACGGCAGCAGGCAGTGGGAAGCAGCACGCTCTGCTGCAGTTATGCATCTGCAGGCTGCTAGCGTCTGCTGCTGCTTTTTCCCCAGCAGCAGCGTGGCGCATAGCCTCAGCAGCACAGGGTGCAACGGCAGCAGCAGCAGCAGCAGCAGCAGCAGCAGAGTCTCTTCAAGGGGAAGGTGGTGGTGTACATGAGAAGGTCGTGCAGCAGCATCCTCTCCAACGGGCCCTCATCTGTCTGTGTGAGGGCCCCTGCCACCGCCTGCAGCCAAGCGGAAGCAGCGGCACAAACAGCAGCAGCAGACGCAGCGGGGGTTCTGGAGACAGCAGCCTACTGCCCCCTCCCCCGAGAGCGCTGGGCCGTTTGTGTGGGTGCCGCCACTGCGTCGAAACCGCAGCATCAGCAGCAACAGCAGCAGCAGCCGGAAAAGGCGAGGGAGTAACGGGAGATGACAGCAGCCCACAGCTTAAAAGAAACTGGCACAATGCCTGGGGTCCCTTCTCTGTGCGATGCTGCTGTCTTTCCTGCTGCGAGGAGACAGACCCCACAAACCATAGTAGGAGGAGTGTGTGTAGAGGAGGAGACCAGCATGCAGCAGCTGCTGCAGGTGCTGCAGAATTCGGGGGTGGTGAACATTTGGCAGTAGCAGCAGCAGCCGCTGCTGCTGCGGTTGCGGGTGTACGTGCAGCTGTGCGGCGGTTGCGCACACGAGAGGCCCAGGAAGGCCTCGGAGGCTGTGGGGTGGTACCCATTCGTTATGCGCTGCGACAAGAGGTTCTGAGGCTGCTGCTGCTGCTGCTGCTTCACTCGGATCCGCTGGTGAGCAGCGCTTTGCTGCAACAGCGGAGACGGCCCAACCCGCAGCAGCAGCTGCAGCTGCAGCACCAGCATAAGGGTTCACGGGATGGTGTTGGAGACCCCAGCAGCAGCAGTAGCAGCAGCAGCAGTAGCAAGCAGGAAGGCGGTTTGGCCCTTGTTCGCGCGGCGCTGCGGGGGCTGTCTACTGACAGAGAGCTTGACGCACTGTGTTTGTTGGTGGGGTTGTTCGAGCGCTTCAGCACTTGTCGAAAGAAGGGGCAATCTCCGGAGACAGAGGCAGCAGCAAGGCGGCTGTTTCTCGTTAGCGGAGGCGGAGGCTTCCCTGTGCCGCTGCTGTTACAGAGGCTTGCTGCCAAGGAACAACTGAGTCACTTGCTGCTGCCCCTGCTGTCGCCATGGCAGGACTGCTGCAGCTCCACTGCAGCAGCAGCAGCTCCTTCAGCAAGTGCTGCCGCAGAAGCTTTAACCAGCGATCACGTGGAACCTCTGCCTGCTTACTTTAGCAGCGCGTGGACTGTGCAGCGGCTGTTGGGGTTTCTGTTGCTGCAGGCACTGGGTCGAGGGGATTGGAGGGGGCCTTCTTTGTGTGGGGCCCCTCAGGTGGCAGCGGAGCAGCAGGGAGGAGACACCAACCGACTACGAGCTGGTGTTGCTTCGCTTGTCTCTGTCGCTCTGGCTGTGCGCCCCGTTCATATGCCGCCGCAGCAGGAGCTGCTGTTGCAGCTCTTTAGGGCTCACCCTGCTGCAGTTGCGCCCTTCTTGGCTCGGATAAGTGGAGTACTGCTAACACCGCGGAAGACCTCTACGTTCGCGCTGTCGTGCCTCTTCCTCTGCCGCCTGCTTGAAGCCCCCTTGTCCTCCACTAGACTCTCCCTATACCAGGCGCAGCAACAGCAGCATCTCCTAGGGAGGCCGGGAGCTGATCAGGGGGAATCGTGCTCGCTGCCTGGGCTAGAAGGGGAGAGCGAGCAGCAGCAGCAGAAAGAAGACGCGGACTGCTTTGGGGAACTGGAGCCGTTGCGGCGACAGCACGCGCTTCAGCAGCACGAGCAGCAGATGGCTGTGCAGCAGCAGTGGAGGGCTGTAGGGCTGGCGGTGCTGCACGTTGCTCCCCCAGTGCTGCTGCTACGCCAGCACCTTTCCCAATGCCTGCTACAGCAAGACATTAGCCTAGCCTTTTTTGGGGTGTCCGTGCTGAGGGCCTGCTGTCACGCACTTCGCTACATGCACGGGGCATTGAAGCACAACCCCGAGCAGCAGAGGCTCTTTCTGACCCAGGTGGCTCCCCGTCTACCAGATGCGAAGACACTTGTTAACTCTTTGCTGCGCCTGACCCAGCATCACCAAAAGCTGAAGAAACAGGAGCAGCAAATGCGCCAATCGGAGCATAGACTGGGCCTCGAGGAGGCAGTCTTTCTTGACTGTTGGCTGTCGGACGAAGCCCTGGCGAGGGCAGCAGCAGCTGCTGCCGCTGCTGCTGCTAAGGAGCAGCGGAAGCGTGACGTAGAGAGCCTGCGGCAGCAGGGGCCATCGGAGGCGAGCGACGACGATCAAGTTGAGGTTCATGTGGCGGGAGTGGAGCGGGAGAACGCAGACAGAGACAACTCGGAGACCCTTGTTGCCCAAGAGGAGGCCTCTCAGGAGACACCCCAGCGCACATATGACGCAGACAAGGGGGTGCCTCTGAAGGATCTGCTGCAACTCTTCTTTAGACAGGGGGCCCCTGTAAGGGACGGTCAGGAATGGGGGCCTAAAGAAGCTTGCGGATATAGCCTGACAGGGCCTGACGGGCCAGATTCCGAAGATATTTTCTTGCAGTTTGCGCTAAGGTGAGCTACACAGAGACAAGCATATCCAATGTTGCGCATTCCAACAGCAGTAGAGACACAAACGGAACAGACAGAACCCCCCCGTGCACTGCTTCCGTGGCCACGGCGTCTCTTGCTGTGTCTCTCGGCGATGTCGACCGCTTAGCTTAGCACTTCCTTTCGAGCGGCTGCCGCCCTTGGTGTAGAATCCTATTTGCATGCAGCCCCTGGAGGGAGGGTTGTGGTTTCCGGAGCTGCTCGTCTTATGAGCTATTAAGGCATCATCAATTCACACAACGCTGCACGCAAAAAAGCACACCTACAGTCACACGCACATGCATGATCCCTGTCATGTAGGGGTGAGCGACTGTAGTCGGTTTGTCATGGGTTACGTAGCAGTCACTCATATTACCCGTCGCGCGTGTTCTCCTGTGGGGCTGCTGTGGGACTGCGTTGCTTTTCGGGGATGCCCCAGGTGTCTGGACAGTGCAGACGCATATCAAGATATGCTGATGCCGTCTTTTCCTCTGGAATGGGGCAAGCTCTTGTGTACGTGGAAGGCGGGGGAGACATCGATCTCCATAGGGGCCGCAGGGGCTACAGGGGTACCTGGTCGGTTGCAGCTTTGCTGTTCCTCTCCCTGCCTTGCAGCAGACATAACTCATCTAGGGGTGCAGGCACGGGGAGGGGTGGACACATGGGGTGACGAGATAGCACTTGGCACTCCAGTTTCCAAGCAGCAGCAGCTACTGCTGCTCCACCTGCTGCTACAATGGCACGCCGACGTGCAGCGCAGCAGACAGATGCTTCCGGACAAGCAGGGCCCACCGACAGTAGAGCTGTCCCAAGATTTCCTTGTCTGCCGTCAACGGAGTTCGCCGCTGCACATTCTTTTGAGGTGAGTGGCATCACCCTTGGGACTGTAGCTGGTTTGTCGACTCGAATGTATCCACTCCGGCAGGGGAGAGGCTGAGCTTGTGCCGTTTCTGGCGGCTCACCAGGTGTTCAGGCAACAGAAGCTGGAGCTGCAGCACATGTAGCTCTTTACTACATTTGCAGGAAGGGGGAGCTGGCTCAGTGTCTGAGGTCGTCACGATGCAGGCGTGAAAGGGCGAGTGCATGCAGCCGCAGAACTTGCCGTCGAATATGCAGGTGCTTGCGGTGCTGGTGCCTGCAGGCTGCTTCACAAAAGCGGGCTATTTGCGGACTTAACTGTGGGGCCTTCTTGTTTAGACGAGGCAGCGGTGTGGCTGGCATCGCTGGAGGACAGCGCCTGCTTCCGCTGCAGTGCCCTCTACTTCGTGGGGCTGCTCCGGTTGGCAAGCGAACGGCGCCTGAGTCTCCTCGCGTACTGCCAGGAGCACCTGGCTGGAGAGGCAGCGGCGAGACAGGAGGATGCGCGGGGACACGCAGCAGGTGCAGCAGCAGGAACAGAGGCAGGCTCTAATCTGTGTTCGCTTTCTGTGTTTTCTTTGGCGGTTTTGTCTCACTTGTCATTGACCCCGCGCTGCAGTGGGGGAAGACTATTGTTTGTGGAAATACCTCCTTTTGGCGTTGGGGCCCCCCGCGAAAGTTGCTGGGGCTACTGCTCCCCGCTGCATGCAGAGGAGCTCTGTGCTGCGGCTTTGGCGGGGTGGGCCGTGCAGGGTTTCATGCGTTGTTGTATGTTGAGCCCCTCTTGGGGGCCTCCACTCCTCCACTGCCTGGACGCTGAGGGCCCTTGGCGGGTTGTGGGTGCTGCGCTGAACGTCGGGGCTTCCGCGAAGCCGGACCAACAGGAGCAGCGGCAGGAGGAGGAGGAAACGCAGCAGGAACAGCAACAGCAACAGCAACAGGCGGAGGCCGCCAGGGCTGCTGCAAGCCAACACCCTCAGTACGAAAGTGTAAACAAATGCCGCCGGCGGCTCCGGCGATTCCTGAAGGCTTCCAGCAGCCGAGAAGGGGGACTGCACGATACCCAAGGTCCCGAAGAAGAGGGGAGGAAGCGATTGCTTGACTCACAACTTGGCATGCTCTCTGGGGTTGTTCGTCGCCAAGCAGCTAGATGGAACCCGTATTCTATGCGGCCGGCAGATCTGCTGGAGGTTTTCGCAGCCCAGCTACCAGGGGCTCAAATGGGGCCTCTTGGAGGCCCCGCAGCAACTGCAGGGTGGATCAACGGCTTGGGCCTTCTGAGAGCGCTAACGCAGCATATCGCGGAGGTGTTGCTCCCCGCGAGTTGCGGTGGGGTTGTCGAGGAAGCAGCGGAGGCTGGCGGAGAAACGATGAGTGAGAGACTCTATCCACTTCTGGTGCAGCTGGAGGCGGTCACCCGTCACCTGAGGGACGCAGCCATAGGGATGGGAGGCCTTCCCCGTGGCTACCCCTCCCTATTGTCACCGCGTGAGACTTTAGAAGCCGGTCCTGCAGGACAGCTTACTCTGCTGTCCGATGTGGTTAAGGTCTCAGAGAAGCTGCTTCGCTTTGCTGTCAAGGCCATCGGAGGACTGCAGTCTCCTTGCACCCCGGAGCAATCCCACCAGCACTTAACTCAGAACGGGTGGCAGAAAAAGCGAATAGAACACCAGAAAGGCATCAGCGGGGGTTCGAGTTCCCACATGGAGGCTCTCAACAAATGGACAGAGGTGGGGGCTGTGTTGATCTGCCACACTGCTAACCTGCTGCAGGCGGCCGCTGCTGAGGAGCATACCCTGGTTGCAGAGCCCTCACCGTGGCAGAAGCAGCAGCAACTGGCGCTGCAGCGGATACTGCGGCGGGCGATCGAACTGGCAGCGACTTTGCTGCAGGCATGGGATTTGCAGAATCCGGATAACTGCGCGCTCTCTTTCCGTTGCATGCGGCACCTGGACCTCGCCGCCAGCCTTCAGGCTTGTCCTCCCGATGGGTACATCACGAGTGGGAAGTCCCACGGATCGACCCAAGACAAGCAGAAAAAAGGCGGACGAGACCAAGAGGAGATGGAGACACAACAGTGTCAAAAAGCACAGACGAGATGCCAACGGGAGGAAACACCCGTCGGGGACCAGCTACTGGCTTTGCTGCACCACCTCACAGCGGCTGCAAGGCCCTTTGCGGGAGAGGATGGAGAGCCGTTGCTGCTTTTGGCAGCAGAGGCTATTGTATGCCGTAAAGGCGCGACAAATGCAGCAGGAGCACCTGCAGGGCTCGCGCATCTGAGGTGGCTGCTTCCAATGCTGTTATTCTGGGGACAGGAGGAGGGAGCAGCAATAGATACTCCTGCCGTGCGGTTGACAGGTGCTGACCGGATCTTTGGCCTCTCGCTCGTGCTGCATGCATGTGGCGCAGCTCCAAGTTCGTCGGCCGAACTCCTCCAAGCTCCAGCACTCCCTTTAGTGCAGCACTTGCAAGCACTCTCTGACAACAATGCGCTGCGCCTGTTCAGCTTCTTACATGGCTTGTGGGAGGGGCCAAATGAAAAGCAACGAGCTGTTGCGAGTGCTGGTATATGCTCTCTAGCGCCAGAGAAAACGTTAGATATAGTCCATAAAGCCAGGTCCTGCCATTCGAGAGACGCTTTGCTGCGATCAGCAGAGAAGGTGATGGTATGTCTTTGCTTACAGATATCACCTGGGGGCACAGCAGTTCGAGGAGACGAGGGTGCAGTAGCAGCATCAGCAGCAGATGCTGCCGTGGTCTTCCGGCAGGGCCTCGTTAGGACGCTGTTCGCTTGCTGGGACCAAAGTCGGAGTTTCCGGAGTGCATGTATTCGCCTCTTCCTGCCTTCGGAAAGTGCCGAAAACTCGGAGGAAACGATCCATACCCTGGTCCACCCAGCGGTGCGTCTCGCACTGCTGCTGCAGTGGAGGGATCCTATGCAGGATTTACATGAATCCTTTTACCCGTCTGTCACGGCTGCACTGAGGCGCTGCCAGGGGGCACTGCAGGGGGGTGACAACAAGGCCGATGCAGAGAGCAGCAGCAACAGCAACTCACGCAAGCGGCGAAAGGCTCCTGCTTCGAACCCCAACCCGGGAGGAGTTGGCTGGGCAGGCGACGTAATGGAGGCATTAAAATGGTCGGTATTTGCCAGGGATAGCAACGAGGGCCCTAGCGGCAAGCGTGTGCGAGCCAAGGGGGCACCATGGCAAGTGGCCGCGTTATTCCTTAATGAGGGACCCGAGGGTGAAGGCCTTTCTACCTGCCTGTTAGCTACGGAGGCCCCTATTCTGTGGGCAAAGGCTGTGCAGCACTTTCTCGCTTCGCTTGCCATGCAGCAGCCGGGGAGAGGCACAGCCCTTGTGCGTCTCAGTGTGGAATTGGCGCGAGAGCTCGAGGAGCTGGCGGGCAGTCTTGAGGAGCCTTTTGCCATCGAAGATGGGTGAGTGCTTGCACCTTGAGCCTACGTCATTTCCTTATCTGGCTTTGCTCAAGGCGCGAAGCCAGGGAGCCTCAACTCACAGGCCTAAACGATGGCTATGGCTTGGGAGATGCAGCACCAGCTGGCAGCACCAGGGGCATAGGGGGGTACTGGTTAGTCGTCGGCCAATAAAGAGCCACAGAACTATAGCGGATCACCTTCCCCATCCGATACAAGGGTTTTGGATTTAGGGCCGTGGGCGTACTGTGATGTGCAACGGTTGCCCGTTGTAGCTGCTGCTAGGGCAGCCGATCTTCTTGCCGGTCGAAAGGAAAGGGCTCTCTGTGGGGCCCTTCTGGGGATGGAGGCAGCGCGTACAGCCTGGAGCAAGTCAGAGTTACTGTCTGTGGTTTCCGGCCCGTCTTTACGTTTAATAAATTGTGGTTTACGGTATGTGGTGCGTTTGGGCGCAGGTGGCCGGTGGACGGATGGGCGCGATATCAGTTATTGTCCGTGATGTTGCACGCAGCTGGGAGCGGTAGTAAGAGCTGTGTAGATGCATCCGCTGAGGGGCTGCGTGCTGTGGGTGCCGCTCGTGGGTGTCTCGGAGCAGCGCTAAAGGACTTAAAGACGGAGTTGGGAGAGCTGCAGGAGGCTCTGGCTGGGTCGGGGGACCTGTCGGACGAAGCGGTGTATTCAGCAGCAGGCGAGGATGGTGCAGCAGCGGCTTCTGCTGACCTGGCTTATTACCTAGGGGCCGTGTGCAGGGCCGAGCAGCTAGGTAAGGTGATTGTGCACGCCTTACAGCCAAGACGGGCCGCTGGAGACGCCTGTCTCACAAAAGAGCAGAAACAGTTCTTCAAAGCTCTGAGGCCCAAGGCTCAATCAATCGCCAAGGGCTTTCTGGAGGCGCTGGGCAATTCGCCGCCAAGTGCAGCAGTTCACTGCGGTGCGGCCGCCCTGTTGAAGCCGCCTGCGGTTGTTCGGAACTTGGGTTTGTCTCCTACCGGAGTTATTACTGAGGACCTCTTGGCTGTCCAGGCCTGGGTCTTTCTTATTCTACCGGCAGTGCGGCTCACCATGATGGGGGCGTCGCTGTCTCCATCTCCAGATGCAGCGGCGGCGTACGCCAAGGAGGCCGCACGACAGACGCTGTCTTGCCCAGCTCTTGCAGCCCTGGGCAGTGCAGCTAAGCAGACAATTCGGAAGTCGACGGCAGCTTTGGGACAGAGGATCGGCACAACAGCAACAGGGCTGGCAGTGGTCTTGTGTCCTCTGCTGCAATGTCTTTGTGATGAGCTGCTCCCCGCAGCAAATGTGCATTTGCAAGGGACAGACGAAGAGCTCCAAACCGCAAAGGGACTGAACGACGAGCAGGAAAATGAGGAGGAGCCTTTCTGTCGCGTTTCGGAGATGTGCCCCGACTTGTTCGAGGCTCTCGTCCAGCTGTATGGGGGGTCCACCTCCCGCGTAGACAGCTACATCTGCCAAATACTTACTCTAGACAGCGCCGGGCCGCATCTAGGTGGGCGTGCAGAGGAGCGGTTAGTGGAGGCGGAGGGGCTTGAGGGGCCTGTAGACCCGGACCATGCCAGCGGCTCCACACCGCGGGAGACGGAGGGAGCGACAGACACGCCGGATGGAGGCAGCTGTGAGGTATTTGGCAGCGACTACATCTGGATGGCGGAGTTGCCAGACTTCCGGGAGGTGTGTGTTGACGCAAATGCACAGGCGTCAGCAGCCTGCGACCGCATCGTGCAACCTGTCAGTCTCTCCCTTGGAGGCCCCTGCGACTGGCTCGCCCTTGACCCCCGGCGAGTCAAGGAGACACTTGACGCGTTTGCCTTTCACTCCAAGCTGGTACAGCCGAAGCGATTTGCTTTGGGGCATCAGCAATGCATCAACCGATGGAAGCTGGCTTCAGCAGCTTCACCTGAGAATGAAGAGGTGCAGACGCAGGTGCAAGTGCAGTTACTGGGGGCCCTGAAGGCTCGGTCGAGTGTGACGCGAGAAACAGAGTTTCAGGAAACGGAAGGGAGTGGTGGTGGTCGGCAGACCTCTGTCGGGGCCTCAGAGCTGTCACGGTGTCTGGAGGCCCTCGAGAGCAGTTATGAGTTAAAGGCTGTGCGGGACGCTTCGGTGGAGAGCAGCGCTTATGATTTGAGCTACCTCATACCTTTCTTGACTGGGCGCCTGACGGCGGCGTGCTTTGTTTTGCTGTGGAGATGGCAGCGTCTCCTGGAGGAGGAGCAAGAACACCAGCAGCAAACACGTTTGCAGCTGCAACAGCACCTGCAGCAGCAGCAGCAGCGGGAAGAGGAGGAGGGCAAGCCCAGTGGCCCCTGCGGCGACGCACTAATCGCTTTAGGCTTGAACCGTCCCGTATGCGCAGCGGAGGAGGCGCGCCGGGCCTGTGGGGTGGCGGGCGCTTGGCTACGGTACTTGGAAGAGGCAACACCAAAGCTCGAGGAGGCGGCTGGGAGCATGTCTGCCCCGGAGGGCGCTAAGATGGAGCCGGCTGGAAAGGGCGAGTGTGCCAGTGGGGCGCAGCCGAAGGAAACACCGGTAGATACGGGGCCTGTGGCACCGGAAATTCCCGCACAGCAAACCAAACGACGCAGGGAGGACGTTTGGGAGATGGATGAATTTAATCCTCAAGAGGTGCAGCCAGCTGTCACGCGTGTAAGCACGTTCTTGAAGGCTGCGCGGCGCATTGGAAGACTTTGGAAACCTTTGCTCGCCAACGCCCAGGACGGACAGGCACATGCTGACGCACAAGATCAGGAGACAACAGCACGCAAACTTGAGGCATGGGGGGCCGTTATCGACGACGGTGATCAGTGGCTCAGCAACTTCGCCTCTGGCGGCGGTCTCCAACTCCTCATTATGGCTCTTGGCTGCCCTGTAAGCCCTCTGACACTTCTCCCTTGTGCCCAGTGTACATGCTGCTAGCAGGATACCCAAGGTGCACACAAACTGCATATGCGCTTTATAGGGCAGGGTACATAAAGTGGTCGCAGCATGAACATGATGAACACAGATTCCACATCGATGCAGTTGATAAGAAACACACAAGAACACTGAAAGTGAAGCTAAGTTTTGAGACTTGGTCCACTGAGCACTGTCCTTTGGTAAATACGTATTTTGATATCCATAACAGCGCCGACACACGCCTGTCTCTACCCCGCACGGTTCCCTGTCTATGGTAGCAAACGATAGGCAGCGGCAGAAGTGGTGCATTGGTTAATGCAGTAGTACCTGAAGGTGGCGTATAGCGGGGCTCGAGAAGAGGAGTCTCTTGGTTGTCCTCTGGTCTGTTTGTAGGATTCATGTACGCGGGCGACAGCTGCCCATGGGCTCGCAGTGTACACGCATCTGCTCCAATTGTCGGCAGACCGGTCGTTGCTACGTCACTTTGCCGAGGTGCACGCCTTCAACATGCAGAACCGTAAGCGACATTCGAGTGCTGCTGCTGCTAAAGCTCGAGGCTCCCGGTGGCGGGAGACGCAGCACCGGCACAAGGCTGCCACATTTGCTTTCCGCGAAGTCAAGGAGCTCCTGACTCTTCTCACATCGCTCATGGCGTCGATTCAGCAGCAGCAGCGGCAGCCATCCTCAATATCCGCAGCATCTGCAAGGCATGGGCGGTTGCAAGCCAGCGGGATTTTTCAGGTAGGTTAAGCGGAGCTGGGGGATCACAACGGCCTGGTGCTCTTGACGTTGGGAGAGTGTAACTGTTTTTCCGTGTGTTTTTGCCATTTTTGTACAGGCTGTCTCGCCCGTCACATGCAGTTTTGCTGCTGCTGCCGTGCCGCTCCTCTTCCTTCCAGACCTACCGCTGTATCCCGTGTTAAACTTTGCGCTGTTGAAGCATCCCGCGGTTTCAGTGTTGTTGCAGGAGCCGTGCATGCCCTTAACTTTGGCCGCTTTGCGGCAGCCTTTGTTGGGTTCCGATGGTCTGTTTTCCCGTTTGCTGCTATGCCCTTCCGCTGCAACGTCAGCAGAGCAGAAAAGGTTTTTGCTGTTAGTGCTTAAGAGGGCGATGGCGGTGTCGCAGTGTACCGCCGACGGCTCTGTGGCAGTCAGCAGCCGCCTGCTGCAGGCCCACAGAATATCTCAGGCGGTGTTGCCCCCGCCGGCGCTGCTTGCACTGTCTGCCATGCCGGTGCTTGGGGATATAAGCCAGAATGCTTCATTGAGTCGCAGCTTGCTGGATGCTCTCTTGCTCTCAACAGCAGCCCCAGCCTGTCTAAGTGCCTGCACTTGGTGGACTGCACATGCAGCCTTCTCACGAACAGCTGCCCAAGCTGAACTCTGCTGCGCCCGCGCTGCAACGGAGGGCCCTACAAATGGCCACTCAGGGGCTTATGTCCAGCCCCCACTCGCCACGGTTAACGCCCAGCACCTGCTGCAGCGATATGGAATCTTGCAGTGGCTTCGAGCACAAGTGGAGGCAGTCTTAACGTCTCTTGGGGCCTCGCCTCGTATTCGTAGAGGCACGGCATTTTCCGTAGCGGGGGGCTGCGCATCACTAGCCAGCCAACCTGTTCCCCCCCCGGTTCATGCAGTGTCTTCTTCAACCAACAACAACCAGCTCAATCACCAGCCCCACGCTTGCTTAGTGGATGACAGAGGCCAGGCTGGAGGTTTATTCGAAGCAAGCAGGATGGAGGGTGGTCACAGGGCTGCGGTTCTGTCCAAGATGGTGCCTCCTATGAGGGACTGCACGCGGTTGTTGTGGTCCCTGATTGCCGGCTCTGCGCTGGCGGCTCCCTTTCCATGTTTGCCATCCCCCCGCCTTTGCGTTAGGGGCAGCAGCGTCTGCTGCCCAGGAGACGGTGTTGTTTCACAAGGTGTGCAAACTGCAGCGGTAGAGAACATCAATTGGGGGACTAGGGCGTTGCACGCAGATTGCAAGGAAGCTGGCGACTGCGGTTCCGAGGGACAGGCACCATCTGGGGAACGTCAAGGAGCAGAGGAAACAGTGCACTGCGAGCGTTTCTGGCCTCTGGAAGAAGGCCCGGATAATCTACCTCTACTACATGCCGCACTAAAGGCGCGGCGCCAACTCTTCAAGCTCAGGCAATCTGCCGAAAGCAGTGAGAAAGAGGAGACAGGTGCACGCGGAGAGGCAAGTCAAACAAGCCCCACCACTGGCATTGGGAATGGGCTGCGCCGTGCCCACGCAGCTCGGCATCTGCTCCTGGACCTTTTGCAGGGACTGCAGAGACTAGCCCGGGCTTGGTTTATCTTTGGAGAGGCTGCAGGTGTGTTTGTGAGGGCTCGAGCCGGCGAAGCCGGAAGCATGTTGGGGTGTACTGTCACACCGAATTTGGTATCAGACTTGCTGGATGCGTCGGTTGCATGCCTGTCAAGCCTGTGGGCGTTGGCAGCGTGCAGCCAGTCTGTTGGCTTGCTTGAGGAGGACAATGATGCTTCACAAACATTAGGGCCACTCCAGAGGCAACACACTCTGCAGGCGTCTTCTTGTTGTGGGGACATCCTCAGGCTGTGTGCCTGGTCAGCGGTTCTGCATGCAAATACCTCCCGTGGACGCACGCAACAAGGAGGCGCGTGCAAAGAGTTGAATCCTTGCTGGTATCGCTGCAAGCCTCTTTGGGAGACAGTGTATTTTCTCATATGCGAGAGAGGGCTCGGGTCACCTAGCTGCCCTAAGGGGTCCTGTGAGCAGGCCGACGGAGTAACAGGTAGGAACCGCTGGGTGCGACTTGGATTGCAGCAAATCCAACGATTTTGTGGAGCGAAGAACGAAATGCTGCAGCAACTCATTGCCGTTGCAGAAGGGCTATGACGCAGCTGCTGCGTTTTTTTTCAACTGAGGTTCACTTTGTTGGCGAAGAAGAGAGCCGACACTAGCGGACACTACGACGCTTGAGGCATCAAGTATACAACCAAAAGTTTGCAGATGAGATGGACAACATAAAGGCAAATAGAAGGCTCAGTACAACATAAATAAAGTAGGCATACGTCGTAACAGAAGAAATACAAGAACACAGAAACCATGCATGGGCGCCTGTACAGGCGTTTCACACTACCGAACGTTAAACAAATACAACAAACTAGGTCTATACATGTAATAAAACGACAGCGCCGATTGACAGACACACCAAGGCGACGGCTAACTATGCCGTGCGGGCATAAACAAACGCCGGTCCCTCTTCGTGACTACAGAGGATCTTCTTCAACAAGAGCGCACGCAGAGCATGCAATAAGCAAAATATTCCCAAGATGGCTAAATTAATTGCACGGGGGCGTGCATGGCAGACCCCAGCGCACTGCAACAGAAGCCTTGAGCTAAAGGCGCATTTTCTGTTAGTGAAGTACACTAACCGCACTCCCCTTACTCAGGCCCCACCTGGACAGCGAAGAGCAAACGTACGCCCAGAGCAACAGCCTACTACTACCTGCGAGGCCGTTCGTGGTTCGAAGCGAGTTCACCAGCCTTCCAACCCAGTGGGCCGTTAGAATGCAATGCGTGGCTTCTGCTGCGAAGGCAGACTGCACAGTATAGGGCGTACTCCTCCGCAGCTCTACGTGCAGGCACCAAGGTCTCCTACACGTTCTTGCATAGAGAGGGGCTCCTGCAGCAGTCGCAGTACGCCCTGTTCGTCAAGGACCCACCAGGCCTGTTCTGGCAAGACACGAGGAACCAAAGCAGGCGAAGTCTTATTAAGCTCATTGCCCTGATTCTGAACGGGTGTGTCTCCGCTCGAAGCAGCAGCTGCTCTGGCCAACGACACAGACGCCGGCATGTCTGGAGAAGAGGAGTTGGTGGCGGGGGGTCTGGCGGCACCAAGAGAAAAGCCGCTAGGTGTGAGGCTGCATCCCCACTGCTGCTGTGTCTTCTGCTGCAACCGCCGATACGCAGAAGCGCAGCAACGAGCAGCTAACGTGGCGAAAGGAAACGCGCGAGGCGGGACGGTTTGGATCGTTATCTGGGCACACAAGGTCACGCATGCAGGCGCCTCACGCGAGTTCCCCACATCTCCTTGCCAATCTTCAGTGCAGCAAGGCAACATGTACCAATTACCAGAAAAAGAGATGCACATCTGTAGCGGGACGCACACTTGAGATAACACAATCTTACCAGTCTGTAACTTTCCTGGTGCCAAGGCAGTCTGCCCGCTGCATGAGTTGTCTTTGTCCTGGAGTTCTCGCAAAAGACTTCACTCAGTAGGTGGAGCTGCTGCAATGCCTCCACGACGCTGCGATGTAGCTGCATGCGCAGCCGGGTAAATGCCTTAGAGACGCGTTCCCACTGCTGCTGCACCCAGCTTAGCTCGCGGGGTCCGGTGCCTTCACCTCCGGTGCAGACGGCCCGCTCTAGAGTGGGAGGTAAGAGGCCTTCTTCTTCTGCCCAACTTGGCAGCAGCGAAACCTGCAAAGACAGAGATGTAAGTTTTCTGTTGCTTCCGTGGAATATACCGCCCCCAAGGGACAGAACCGGTAAGGTGCGAAACCCTTCAGGGCGGCTCTTCGGCCACTCAAGGCCTTCCGGCGTCTTTGGAATGTCAAGTGGCAGAAAGGGCGACAGGGCAGCCCCCTCTCGCAGGCGTTGCTGCACCAACAAGAGCTGTTGCTGCCACTCATCGAACTCTGTAGCGTCCATCGTCGCCCCGAAACTGTCCGCGTGCATGATACAAGCCCTGCTGAGGGCAGTGGGGAATAGCTTTAACAGCCCATCCTTCTTGTCCTGCTGACGCAGAGCCTCTGGGTGTTCCGCCCACTGCTTCACCGGAGCTCCAGGGCATGCTGCTGCGCTGGTGAGTGGGACTGCGGGCTGCAAAGCTGCGATGCGATCGCGGAGGACCTGGGCGTTGTCGATTAGGTAGTCGTCAAAGAGAATGGCCGCAGTGCGCCGAGAGACCCCAGGCAGTCTGGTGAGATCGTGAATGCCAGCTTCGCGCATAGAATTCCGCCTGCATGTAGGGGTTCAGCAGAAATCAAATGAGATAATATGTAAAAATAGCTAATGCAGATGCACATGCGTTGCTGTTCAGGTTCATTACCACTCCAGGAGCTGCACCTCTACATGCTGATGTAAATATACATAACCTTGCACGTACATATGCTGGTATATTTCCACGCATACCGCATGCGACGAACCATATATATATATATATATATT